CGAGGGCTGAGGGCCGCCTGACAGGCATCGTAGGATGGACGAGTTCGGGTTTAGGGGCTTAGGGGTTAGGGGTGAGGGTTGGGCGTTTAGGTTTAGGGTTTAGGGCTTAGGGTTCCAGGTCGGTTTGGGGTTTGGGGTTTGGGGTGGGGTTTAGGGGGGTGAGGGTCTATGGTTAGGGCATGGCGAGTTCGGTGTTTTTGGGACGGTTGTTTGGGGTTCGGGTTTAGGGTTTCGGGTTTAGGGTTTAGGGGTTAGGGGTTAGGGTTTAGGGTTTAGGGTTTAGGGTTTAGGGTTTAGGGTTAGGGCTTAGGGCTTTGAAGCTATCGCTGCATTGGCACTGAATAGAAGAAAATGCCTCTTACCGTCCCGATCCCTTCCTGCTTCAGACGCAGCGGAACCCTAACCCTAAACCCTAAACCCTAAACCCTAAACCCTAAACCCTAAAAACCCTGAACGCTAAACCCTAGCCCTAAACCCTGAACACTAAACCCTCTAAACCCATGGAGTGAAGTGGGCTTGACAGCTTGCTTGAAACCTAAACCCCAAACCTGAACTGCAAGCCCCAACCCTAGCCAAAACCCGAACGCAAACCCAAACCAAAAACCCTGAAAAACCCAAACCCAAAACCCTAAACCACAAACCCTGAAACCCTAGACCCACCTGAACTCTAAACCCAAAACATCAAAAAACACGCAACCCTGAAACCGGCCCAAACCTGCTACAGCAGGCGTCGGGCAGAGCATAGTGCCGCCGCAGGGAGTCCTGGGGGACGGGGGGGGGGGGGGTGGGGAGGGGGGGGGGGGTGTTGTTGGCGGAAGGGGGAAGGGAGTCTGGGGGGCGGGGGTGGGGGGGGGGGTGGGGAGGGTGGGGGGGGGATTCGGAACTCTCGGTTGTAGGGCTTCTGGGGTTAGGGGTTTGGGTGTTTAGGTTTACGGTTTGGGGGGGGGGGGGGTTTAGGGTTTACGGTTTGGGGGGTGGAAATCTGGGGGACCCGCCTCTGACCTTTGTGAGAGTTGGGTTCTGTTGGCGGAGCTTTTGGTTTTCAGGGTTAGGGGTTTTGTGGGCTTGGGGTTCAGGGGGGGGTTTGGGGTTTAGGGTTGGGGTTGAGGTTAGGTTGGAGGGGACTTCCTTGTGGGCCTCGTCACTAACTGTCCAGTACAAGTGGCTAATTTGGCATGGAATACAGGAGACAACCACCAATGGCTTGGGATAGGGGGGAGAGCTTCTCCTTGCTGTTTGTTGTTTTGCCTTTCTTTCTCAGTACTTTCATCAGACTACGGTTTTTAGGGGTCTCTTGTGGTTTGGGGTCTGGACCAAACTCCAAGCCCTCCTGAATAACAAGCCCTTGACCCTAGAATCTTAAACCTCTAACCCCCTAAACATGACTACTCACAAACCTGAACCCAAACCCCAAAACTCAAAACCCCTTAAAACTCTGCGCTTGGAGCCGTTGTCGAGGCCGGGGGCCTCGGCGCCCTTGATGCCGGGACTGATGCAGCGGCAGAGGCAGCTGGAATCAGGGTTTACGGCTTGGGCATAGGGCCTCAAGTTACGTTACCCAGAATATGGAGATAGAGCTACCAGAACATGGAGATGTAGCTAAGGATATGGCCCGCTCTTACAGCAACTTATTGTTGTTCCCTAACGGCAACCTTCCCCCCCCCCAAATTTAGTTGGAACGAAATGTCCACTGAGTCCAGCTATCTGACTTCGAGCGGGCTGTACACTACTTGTGTATGAAAAGAGCCCAACAGAGACCCGTGAACAGACTTTCTAGTATGGCATGAAGGGCGAGGAGCAAGAGGTGTTCTGAGTGCTTCAGTTCGAGAGAGGGCGGGTGCGTGAGATTCGGGGTCTTTCGCGAGGGGATTTGGGGCTTCCAGCACTCTAAACTTTGCGGATCAGAACCTCACCCTTAGAGCAACCCGAATGCCTTGGGGATTCAGGGTTTACGGCTAGAAGGCTAAGGGCCTAGGATTTGCGGTCTAGGGTTAGAGGGCTGAGTTTTACGGCTAGAAGGCTAAGGGCCTAGGATTTGCGGTCTAGGGTTAGAGGGCTGAGTTCTTAGGGTTGAAGGCTTTTGCTGATTTGTGCGTTCTCTGGACATGGTGTTCTAAACAGGGGTGGGGTGCAGACAACTAGTTTGCGTGCACGAATACAATCGCAAGTTCACAGAAACAACGGAAACGACAGAATTGACCGGTGCGTTGCAATGGCCCTCCTTCTTCGTAGAGGCGCGAACAGACCAAGAAAATCTCGAACAGCGTTCCTGTGACCCCAAACACCCCTGAACCCTCAACCCTAAACCCTCAACCCTCAACCCTAAACCCTCAACCCTAAACCCTAAACCCTCAACCCTAAACTCCTCAGCAGAGGCCCCAAGCTGCGGTGAAAGGGGACGAAGAGGAGCGCCTCGCAGGGGGGAGCGCGCCCTTGGTTTTCAGGGTTCCAGCTGGTGCGTGCATTTGTTTGGGCTCTTTTGCAGGGGAAGAAGGGGTGTAGGGGTTCAGAGGATCCTGATACGTTGAAGCCTACAGAAAAGCTCCCGCATGACAGGTACCCCAAGAGGGGGCTATCCTAAACCCTAAATCCTGAACCCTAAACCCTAAACCCTAAACCCTAAACCCTAAACCCTAAACCCTAAACCTTAAACCCTAAACCCTAAACCCTAAACCCTATTCCCTAAACCCTATTCCCGAAACGAGCCCAAGCCCAAGCACCTCAACTAGAAGCCCCCCCGCCCCTTTCTCAAGGAGACGGACTTAGGGTTTAGGGTTTCGGGTTTAGGTTCGGGGAACGTTTCGAGGAGTTTCGATGAGGAGCTTGCAGGAAATTTGCTTGTTTGTAACTTCAGATAGTTTGGAGTTTATTTATTTATTTATGTATTGATTTTTTGCGAGGGTTCGGCAGAAGTTTAGTGGTTGAGGGGTTCAGGATTCATATCCACAGTTCAGGACTCTAAGTTCACAACTTCGTGGTACACAAGGTGACCTGTATGTAACCTTTTTGGGTTTTTTGGGGTAGTATAATCCCATATACAATCCCCAAGGTTTACCTTGCCCCGAGGATACAGGACAACTAAGTCACAAGGGGATTCAGGGTCTAGGAGGTCAGGATACTAGCCCGTGCCAACAGTCTTCGTCAGTCAGCCCGCCTCGGGCGAGCCAGTATATGGTTCAGGCTTCAGGGTTTAGGGCGACCCCAACCCCGAAACCCTGAACCCTAAACCTAAATCCTAAGCCCTAAACCCCTAAACCTTCTCGCCTGCAGGATGATAGCAGCTCCATCCTCGAGCGATTCGGCAAGGAGTGCGCGGTTAATTCTCCCTCAACCCTAAACCCTCAAACCCCAACCCTAAACCCTAAAACCTCAACAGGTTCATCCCCAAACCTTTAGACCAAGCCAAGGCCTAAACTCCCCCCCCCCTCCCCCCTTTGAAGCTCCAAGAGCCTGCGACTCAGGCCGCCGGCCCAGATTTCAGGGTTTAGGGTTTAGGGTTTAGGGTGCTTAAGCACCGACACCCTGAAAAGACTCGCAATCAACTCGCGACCCTCAGCCTTGAACCCAAAACCCTTATTCTTGGGGGGCAATCTCATCAGCAAGTTAAGCTTTATTAAAGAAACCGAAAACCACGGAGCCCGAAGCCCCAAGCTCCAAGCCCGACATCCTAAGCCTTAAGGCCCAAAGCCTAAACACCCTAAAACCCCAAACAAACCCCTAAGCCCCGAACCCTGAGTGAGCCCTATGATTTGGGGTCTAGGTCGGTTGGCTTGTGGGACTTTTGTGTGACTCTCCGGCTTGGGGGCGTTTTCATGTATGATGCCTGAGGTTGAGGCGGCGAGGGGTTCGAGGTTGGGGCCCGACCAGGCCCTGAACACTCAAAGCATGAAGCCCCGGGCGACTAAACTCCGAAAGCTCGGAACTCACCAAACCCCAAGCCCCAAGCCCCAAGGTTTTGGCCCTGGGCCCCTAAGCCCCGAGGCCCCAAGCCCAAACAAATTCTCAAACCCTAAACCCTAAACCCTGAACCCTAAACCCTAAACCCTAGGCCCCAAGCCCTAAGCCCTAACCCCTAAACCCAAAGCCCACTCTCATCTCGGAGGACCTCGTGGCTGAAGCAGCTGCTGGCCGCCTGGATGCCGTTTTCGGCCGGGAGAAGGCCTGTGTCGTTTAGGGTTTAGGGTTTAGGGTTTAGGGTCTAGGGGTTGGGGTTTAGGGTTTAGGGTTTAGGGTTTAGGGTTTAGGGTTTAGGGTTTAGGGTTTAGGGTTTAGGGTTTAGGGTTTAGGGTTTAGGGTTTAGGGTTTAGGGTTTAGGGTTTAGGGTTTTAGGGTTTAGGGTTTAGGGTTTAGGGTTTAGGGTTTAGGGTTTAGGGTTTAGGGTTTAGGCTTCAGGGCTCAGGGTTTAGGGCTTGGGGTGGAGGAGCTTGGTTTAGGGTATGGGAGTTCTCTGGTAAGTTCCGGCACAGCGTCCACAGTGTAGATGCCAAGAAAGGCTGTCTCCAGATCCTTGATCCAGCTGGTGGCTTCATAGCTGGCGGTACCTGGGATTTAGGGTTTAGGGTTTGGGGGTTCAGGGCTTAGGGTTTAGTCCTGGTTAGGGTTTCGGGTAGCCCTGTTCGCTCAACCTGAGATCGACCCTGTTCGTAGCCCCCAAAGCCTTAGGACCCAGGACCTAGGGTTTAGGATTGTTTCTTGGAACTATTGGAGGCTTTTAGGATTCATGGGCCCGCTTAGGACGACCCTTGACTAAGCCTAAAGCAACCCTAAACCCGAAACCCGAAACCTTTAAACCCCAAACCCTAAACCCGAAACCTAGGCGCTCTGGCTTTCAGCTTCTTTGCATGCGCATGTGGTGCGATATGTGGATTCTTCGCATGTTGCAATGGTTAATGCTTACAGGGGTCAGTGGTTACCACGGTAATTCCCCCGCTTTCACCAGTTTGAAGCCAGATAGAGTCTGCATTTTGCAGACTACTCCTCATTCTCGAGGGGTGGCAGCAATGTCGTCCAGCAACCAGGAGCTCTCCGCGCAGCACCTCCACCAGACAGCCACCTCAGCCTACACGTACTCCGGCGCCAACCAGGTCTACTACGAGGCACAGAACCAGTGGTTTCAGGAAAATCGCTCGAAGAGGAAAGGCCCACCGTCAGCAGCATTGTCCACACCACTGGCTACTCCCCATGAAGACACGGATGAGGAGATGGATGCACGACCCAAGATCGCGCAGCCACAGCCCGCAGACGCCAACACTACTCCTCTGATACAGCCGCTGGACATTGACGCGCAGGCCGCAGTCTCGCTTGCGGCGGCCCAAGCTGGGATCAACTCCAACGACCCCGCGGCAATTACTGCCTGGTTGGGAGAGTCCATCACCACACGCAAACAGGTGATGGAAACCATCCGCGCCTACCATACTGGGGTGATTCGCAGCGAGATCAGCAACATCGTCCTCCAGGTTGAAGGAGTCGTCCGCCAACTGGACAATAGACTACTCCTCCAGCATGACCACCTTCGCTGGCTCACTCAGGAAAGCAGGATGGAGCAGAAGAAGCTCTCAGGGCTTCAGGTCCTCACCACCGGCTGGTCCCCGACAATGTCAGGTGAGGAACGTTTGTACCAACTCAACTGGATGTTCGAGCAGGTGGACTACTTCCGTCGCTGGCTCTCTGACCGCGGGCACAACATCGACGGCCCCAACGTTCCCTACATCTTCATGAACATCCTCCAGTGTGAGCCGGCTACTCCTCCGTCCGGCCAGCAGTTTTCCACGGTTTCAATTTTAACATTTAAATCTTGGGATTTGCGCCAGCAGTTCATGAGCACGTACGGTGGCCCCACGGGGACCCCCTTGTACAGAGATTCTTCCACGCGCGAGAAGAACCGCCACGTCAGGGCGACACCAGCTTCGCCACAATTTCAAAGGAAGATGGAAGTGCCCATTAGAGTACTCCTCTCCCTCATCAATGAAAGCGAGCTGCTCGAATCCAATCAGGTCACCGTGCTATGGAAGACCTTGACCATAATGCAGCCGCAATCTGTTCGCGAATTCGATGATCAGATCCGTGCCTTCGCAAGGATGCATTTTTTCGAAGACAAGGGAATCATGAAGGGCATCCTAGAGGTTACTCCTCAGCTGATGGAAGCGTTGCAAGCAAAGCCACCCATCGGCTCGGAAGAACCCACCATGTGGTCATACCACTGGGCGAAGGTCGTTTATGGTGTGCAACATGAGTTGGATGTTGCAGACCAGCACCAGTTTGCGAGGGCCCGGACCCAGGCCAAAGGCTCGGGAAAGGGCATGGAGGTAGGCCAGACTAGGCGCCACTGGGCCTCCTCAGCAGTCTACTCCTCAGCGGACAATCCGTTTCCAATCGAGATGGAAGTTCGCGACGTAGACGATATCTATTTCGTCTGGGACGAGTATTGTGACAAGTTCCAGAGAGCTGATTTGAAAATCGGCAGCTACCAGACGGGTACTGTCCAGGGAGCGCGCCCCTCGGCTACTCCTCCTACAGCCACAGGGGAGAGCGCATTGTCAGTGTTTGCGCAGCCGAAGGCTGGCGCCATGCAGCCCCCGTCATGGGTGCCAAAGGCACCAGTTTCCGCAGCTGCCAAAGGCAGCGCAGCAAAGCCCTGACAAATTGCTGCCGTTCCAGCTTCGCTTTTTACAGTCGTGCAATGTTTTACTCCTCAGCATCTCTTTCACAGCAACATTTTCTTACAGTATAGTGTTGTCTTCTACAATATCAGTCCACTCCTCTCGCACGACTGTCGCAGCCAGAAGATGCCCTGGCCAGAATTCCCAACAATGGCCACATTTGAAATTTCTGAATCATTCGGCCAGGGAAGACACTTTCAAGTTCAAAGAAAGCTGGATTAATTCGAGTTTCAGCCGAGGCAAGAGCAGGGAAGTCGAAGCACAAACAGTAGGATGGGATAGAACACCCATTCGAAGAAAACAACACAGATCCCGATGCAAACAAGTACCTCGTAGATGCCCCACCCTACCCTCATTAAATTATTTAGGCCTAGCATTCCTGATAGTCTATTACTACACCGAACCCTGTCGCTACAACCCGGGTATAATCATGATGGATTCCCTGATACTATATCATTGTGCAAAGGGCTTCTGTACCGCATATTTAGATGCACTTCAGGCTAGATTAAACAAAACGCAACATTCATTGGTAGGCAACACAACGACCATACTCCTGGATGATCTCATCCCAACCCAGACTACTCCTCAGAATGGGTCTCCGACCCACCACCATAGATCGCCCTGGCCGATTGACCAAAGCACAACACAGTCAGGTACCCCACATTTCACATCATCAGACATTTTCACAAGGGATGTGCTCCTCCTGTATAGGCAGTCCAGAGCACCCCATATGGCTTCTATACTCCCTTCCTTAGCCCCCCGCCCACACCTTAAAAATAGAGGAGGTAGGCGTATTCAACTAAGGGCGGCCGACTCAGGCCAAAGAATGTTTTTAAAGTCCCCTAAACCCAGTCCCTTCCCGGTTCGTTCCAGACCCCCCCGAGCTACTCCTCATGGAAAAGACTCGGTTGTTTCCACCCAATTGAATTCAGGAATTAATAAACACAAAGAAGTTAAGCTTGCACCGCCGCCACGCGGCGCGCCGGGGACCCATGTGGTCAACGAAGAGTGCAACCCCACTCTCCCTAAACCCTCTCCACCCTCAGGCCGGGGTTCCAGGCTACTACGCAGACGCCTTTACCGGCAGTGGCGTAGCAGTCGCGGTGGAGTCATATGCCAGGGCCGCTTGGGCAAGGGCACTGGCAACAGGGAGAAGCCCCAGAGAGCGGCTCACGGCCGCGTAGCAGGGAAAAACAACGCCGGCAGATTCCGCACCTTGGTTTTGGAGCAGTCAGAACTTTCCGGACCACAGCGTAAACCCCGGGATAAAACCATGACTACTCCTCAATTAGAATACGGATTCAAATTAAAAATAGCCACACAGAATGTCCAAGGCATGGCGGAAGTTCTCAAGCATCAGCAGGTCCTCGAAATAATGAAATCTTTCTCACTACATATCCTATTCCTTACAGAAACACGTTCCACCTCATACTACACCTATAACTCTCAAGGATTTCTCTTTGTGGTGAACGGTTCTACTACAGACAAATATGCAGGAATTACAACGGTAATCCACCCCAGTATCCGCCCCTATATCAAGGATTTCATTCAGTACTCCCCTAGGATTACAAGGGTTACCATTTCACTACAAAGTGGTAATTCACACATTTTCGGAGTCTACGCCCCACACGACAAGCTTGAAAATGAAGAGGTAAAGTCACCATTCTGGGACGCGCTACAAAGCGCAATGATTTCGCTCCCAGCCCCAGAGCCCGCTTATATCATTGGCGATTTCAATGTGCGCCTGCAGGGCCGCAGCCGACATGAACACGATATCATGGGACCTCATGTCTATGGAAAAGGCTACTCCTCAGCAAAAACTGGCCCACAGCAGAATCGTACATACTACACATCCTTCCTCCGAGACACGTCTTGTGTTGACGCCCTCACGTACAAAACCCCCAATCTTTTACATCACATTACATATAGGGATAAAAACCCCCCACCACAAGAGTGGTCCCAGTTCGCGCTCGATTCAATCAAGGTGCTTCAATTCTGGGACAAAATCTCAGCGCTCCCTACACCTCCTGAAGAAGCCCTTTGTATCGCTCAAACAATTCGTCTCTTTTTGACAGCGGACCCTTTGTTAAACCCTCTCCCTCAAACACGGAAGATCGACCCCTTCAGATTCCAGAGTCTTGATAAAATAGTGTGTAAAAAGCAATGGCTTCCGTCGATTTTACAATGCCGGGCACATCATAATACCGGCTTCCCAAGCGACCATTATCTGCTCAAAACTATTCTCCGCATAAAGCTAGGATCAAAAGAGCCCAAAATTCCTAGACTCCCCAAACCAGACTACTCCTCTTCCACCAAATCGCAGGAACAATTCGCCGCAGCCTTCAGAACACATTACGTCAACACAGCCTCCCCGGGTTCAGAAACAAAGAAAGCCCCCGAGGGCCCCCACGTTCGAGTCTACACGGACGGATCCGGCTCAAAAGGCAGAGCAAGTGCCGCCTCCCCCGCGGGATGGGGATTCGTGGTATTCGACGACTCTGCGAGGGCGCACAAAGCATGTGGCCCAGTACTCACCACAGACACCTCCCCATATTATCTGGGCGCCAGTGTAGGTAGCAACAACACAGCAGAAATCTCCGCCATCATGGAGTCAATCCTCTATTTATTACGTTCGGCTACTCCTCCCACAAAGGTTACAATCTACTACGACAGCAAATGGGCTGCCCAGATGACTCGAGGATTGTCCAGACCGAAAAAACACAACCAGCTAATTTTTAATGCCCGCGCCTGTTACGAGAAACTGAAAAACATCTCAGAGATAGAATGGGTGTGGATAAAAGGGCACACTGGAAATCAAGGAAACGAATTAGCGGATGCCTTAGCGGAACAGGGAAAAATAGCTTTGGAGGCTCAAGGTGGACGATATACACAGGCAGCTCCATTACTTCTCTCAAACCTGAACCCTCCCGCCCTACCGATCAGGGGTGAGACAGCAAGATAAATACTCCAGATTTCTGTACGCTGCTCAAACAGCCTCTACCATGATTTTTCCTCCCACCCAGTACTCCCCACACAAACCTTGGATATCCACGGAAACACTAAGAGAATTACACGTCGCCAAAAATATGAAAGCCACAGAACACCCAGACTACTCCTCCTATTACAGAAGGGTGAAAAATAAGGCTAGAAAAGAAAAAACTCAGTGGATACGCAGCCAAATTAACGCTGATTACACGCTCACCCCAGCAGTTTGGAAACAGGCAAAGAAACTTAAAAAGGGATTTCAGGAAAGAAAATGTAGACTGGTAGTGGATAACAAGCAGATCCCATGGTCTGAAACACACGCGGCATTTGGCAAACACCTCACGAACGTACAATGGGGTCCCTCAAAGGTAACGAACGAAGCTAAACAAAATTTAGCACAGGCTACTCCTCATTTCCCCACCGACACGACTCCGATCCCCTGGTTTACCCTCCCGGAATTGCAAACCGCCCTCCACAAAATGCAAAAAGGCAGGGCCCCAGGACCTGACAACCTGCGACCTGATATACTCAAACTACTGGACCATTTCGGGGAGGTGCAACTTCTCTCGACCTCATGAACGCTTGTTTGCAGGAGGAAAAAATCCCACACGCATGGAAAGAGGCTATAGTAGTATCGTTTTACAAGGGTAAGGGTGACGACTCAGACGCTTCAAACTATAGGCCAATCTCGTTGCTCAACACAATGTATAAAATTTACTCCTCCCTCATCCAAGCTCGTCTACAGTTCAGATATGAATCCAGACTGCGCAACACGCAGTTTGGATTTCGACAAGGACGTAGTACCTTACACCCGCTATTTATATTGCGCAGACTCCAAGACTACTCCTCCAGAACAGGCGCCCCGTTTCACTGCTTGTTCATAGATTGGAAACAGGCGTTTGACAAGCTGGATCACGATTCATTACTGATTGCACTTCGCAGAATGGGTATTCATGAACAATATATTACCTTAATCCAGGACATTTACACCGCTCCCCTATTCCACACAATCGGTATTAAAGGTGACAAATTCACGGCTACTCCTCATACTGGGATCAGGCAGGGCTGCCCGCTCAGCCCATACCTTTTTATCTTTGTGCTATCCAGCGTACTGCTGGATGTAGATGACAAATTAGTCCGACAGGGGGTCCCTCAAAACACTTGGTCGGTGGGAAAGCCAACTTACGATCTCGAATACGCCGACGACACTCTACTCTTTGGGATATCAGTACAAGCCCTGGAATCCTATCTGCATGCGCTCCAACAGGAAGCCCAACCCTATGGTTTAGAACTCAACCTAACTAAGACTGAACTCCTTTGTCACCCCTCGTTTACTCCTCCACCCCCCAATTTCAGAAATGGGGACCCAGTACCCCAGGCAACGTCAGTGAAGTATCTAGGTTCCCAAATCTCCTGGATCAAGCCCACAATTCACGCACTGTTCGCGAGATTTGCACTAGCCCATACCTCCTTCAACAAGCTCCAACATCTTTGGCGGAGTAGACTACCCAGAAAAGTGAAGGTACAAATATTCATGGCAAACATAGTATCCTGTCTCGTCTATGGCCTCTGCACCCTCACCATGGAAGACAAACATTTCCGTAAATTAGACTCCTGGTATTTTCAACACCTACGAAGAGCCATAGGTATTAAAGCGTCCTACTACTCTCATATCACAAACAAATCGGTTTGGGTTCAAGCCAACAGACCACTCCTCCCATCCCAAATAGTTCTTTCCCAACAGTTCAAGCTGTTCACTGAATCAGTTAGAGCTCCCGGAGACCAACCCCTACACCATGTAGCGCATGGACCAGCTCTCAAGGACAGAATAGCACAGTACAAAAATTATAAGACGGGCCCCCCTCCGCCCCACTGGCTACTCCTTGTCAGTAACCATGCTATGGAATTCTGCCGATCGGATACCCCTAATAACGACCTCCTAACCCTTCAGAAGCGGATAAGAAAGAGCCGGACTTCCCTGCACGCCTCGTGGCCGCGCCTACGCGCCACCCTTTTAAGTTCAGCCTGTTCGCCCAGAGTATCGGAAGCGCATGGCAGTCCTAAAAAAAAACCCGAAACCTTTAAACCCCTAAACCCCTTAATCCCTAAACCCTAAACCCAGGAGGTGCAGAGGGTGCTGAACGTCCTCGCGAGGCGGAACAAGCCCAACGCCAGGTCCTCGGTGGTGCCCCCGAGGGTTTAGGTGTTAGGGTTCAGGGTTTAGGGTTTAGGGTTTAGGTTCAGGGTGTACGGGATCGTGAAGAGGTCTCTTTGCAGAGCCTCTTGAGAAAGAAAGGTCCACCCCCATTCCTGCCTGACTTGTGACCGTCTTCTGAGAAGGAGCTACTTAGGATGGTAGCATGCGATCCACAAATCGTCAGCATTTTAGATTGCTTTCGGAAGATGAGTTGGCTTCGTAGTGTCCTTCAACCCTAGCACCCTAAGCCCCAAACCCCGACCCCCCGAACCCTAAACCCTAGACACTAAACCCTAAACCCTAAACCCTAAACCCTAAACCCTAAACCCTAAACCCTAAGCCCTAAACCCTAGATTCTAGACCCTAAGCCCTAAACCTTAAGCCCTAAACCCTAAACCCTAAACCCTAAACCCTAAACCCTAAACCCTAAACCCTAAACCTCAAAAGCGCTTTTGCCGCCTCCTGCTTCGGATTGCCTTCACCCTTCGACTGCAGCTTCGAGTGGAGACCTGGGCAAGAAGCCCCGAGACCCTTCGAATGTTTAGGGTTTAGGGTTTAGGGTTTAGGGTTTAGGGTTTAGGGTTATGGAGTTCAAAACCCATCATCTGCAACGCCCTAAACGCCCCGCAACAGCTCGTAGGCATCAATCCGTAAGCCCCACACGCTCAGAACCCCGAGACCCTAACCAAACCCTAACCCTAAACCCTAAACCCCAGGCTCCAAACCCCAAACTCCAAGCCCCAATCCCGGATTTCGGGTTCCTCGCAGGGACCTTTCTATGGCCCTTCTTTGCAGGACCCCAAGCCCTGAAGCCCGAAGCCCTGATTCCTAAACTCTAAACCCTAAACCCTAAACCCTAAACCCTAAACCCTAAACCCTAAACCCTAAACCCTAAACCCTAAACCCTAAACCCTAAACCCTTAACCAACATGCCCTTCTGGGGACTTTTCTTTTGCCCTTGTTTTGGAGGTCTGCCTGCTGGGACCCCCAGGGGTGGGGAAG